GGCTGAGGCTGCCCATGGAACGGTCACCCGCCATTATCGGGAGCACCAGAAGGTGAGTGGTAGGGCCTGTGGTCGCATGCCCATCTACCCCAGGGGCTCAGAACCCACTGGCGCGGAAGACTGGGAGGATGGGTCTGGCTTGTCAGTCTAGGCGTGGGCAGCTGCGTCCAGGTGGCCCCCTTGTCAGCTGCTTCGGCTCCTAATGCCGCTGTGACCCCTGCCCCCCAGGGCCGGCCCACCAGCACGAACCCCATTGCCAGCATCTTTGCCTGGACACGTGGCCTGGAGCACCGGGGGAAGCTGGACGGGAACCAGGACCTCATCAGGTGAGCGGAGAGGGCGGGGGTCCCGAGCCGGCCCAGGGCAGGTTCTGGGCCCCGGCTCTGTGAGCTGGGGGCCTCACTCTGCCCCGCCGCCTGCAGGTTTGCGCAGACCCTGGAGAAAGTGTGTGTCCAGACTGTGGAGAGCGGAGCCATGACCAAGGACCTGGCAGGCTGCATCCATGGTCTCAGCAAGTGCGTGGCCTGTGGCAGAGGGCGGGGCTGGCCTTCGAGGACCTCAGGGCCGGGTGGGAAGAAGCCAGAGGCTCCTTAGAGGCCCCTCTGGAATCCGCTTCGCTGCCAAGGGCCTGAGGTGGGACGGGTCCACAGCCCTGAGGCCCAGTGAGTTGGTCCCCATTCCCGAGGCTAGCGGGCTAGCCGCTCAGAGCCTTGCCATCCCCTTCCGTACGAGTTCCTGCTGAGCTTGCTGCGGCCCTTTGGCCGTGGGCTCTCGGCAGCCTGTGACCGGTAGCCTGGGCGCGCCGCTCCCCACGGGCACGGGAGGGGGGTGGCGGGCAGCCCGTCGGGTGCCCGAGCTCAGGCTCTGGCCTGGAAGGGCTGCTGCTCACGCCACCCGTGTTCTGTTGGCAGTGTGAAGCTGAACGAGCACTTCCTGAACACCTCGGACTTCCTGGACACCATCAAGAACAACCTGGACAAGGCTCTGGGCCAGTAGTGGGGGCGGGAGCGCGGCCCGGCGGCGGTGGCGGGCAGGCCGGGCCGAGCAAAAGCTGCGGGCCGCGGGTGAGCCCCTTCTCAGGCCTTTCTAGGGGACATTTTTTATATAAGCAAGATGTTTTTAAAAGTATCTGTGTGTTTCCCCTCATGGTGATGTGAGGCAGGAACAGCGTGTTTTACCTCAGCCAGTCAGTGTGTTTTGCATACTGTAATTTATATTGCCCTTGGAACACATGGTGCCATATTTAGCTACTAAAAAGTTCTTCACGAAACCGTCTGCTGTGTTTGTGCCCCAGGGAAGGAGGCCGCCCAGCCAGGGCCCCAGAGACAGGGCCTCCAGGGCCGGCGGATTGTACCCCGGGACAGACTGGGACGCCGCAGGCCTGCGTCCCCAGCCGCCATCAGTCGGGGCCCACCGGGAGGGGAGGGGAGTGGGCAGCACTGTGAGCGTCCTGAACCGTATGGGAGCCACCCGACGGGCCCCCGGGACTCCCGGTGTGCAGGCCTGTGGGCTCCCTGAAATGACCTGCACAATCCCTTTCCTGTATCCTGCTCTCCATGTCAGGGTTGCTATCACTTCCTCATAGATTCTGGTCTTTTGCTTTGTTGGCTCTAACCTTCTCAACATCTCCAGACCTCTCTCTATGCCCTTTTCTGGGTCTTCAGAGTGGGTCCCCCACAGCAGCTGCCCCTCTGTCCTCTCCATGGCCGCCTGGGGTTGGGGGCTTGGGGCTGGGGCTGGGACTGGGGCCCAGACTTGGGTTCATCTTCACCGTTTTTTGGCAAAACCGGGAAAGTAGGATTACAAAGTTGCTTTAAAGCTAAATAGATCCAATTGAAAGGGCTATCTTTTATGCAGGGATTATAGTCTACTTTTGGTGTTTACATGTCCAGGGGAAGAGTCGTACCATCTTCACTTGATACAGTAAATACTTGGCAACCCAGTTTCGGGGGGACTCCAGTGGCTCCTGAGACTGGATATAGCTGGAACCTCGGGAGCTTGGAGGTGGGCTGTCGCCACCACTCACTCTGGTGGCCTCCATCGGGCCGAGGGACAGCTTACTCCCTTCGCTCATCACACTGAACTCCCAGGGAGGTAGGAAGAAAAGCTGGTGTGCTGGCTCTGCTTAGGCCCAACTCCTGGGGTGAAGCTCAAGGTTTCCGGCCCCTTCTTAAGGGCTGGCAGCCTCTGAAGGGCAGTTTGGCATCGTGAGCTGGCTTCTGTCCTGGTGCCCTGTTGGTGGGTCAGCAGGGGTTAGCGGTTTTTCTCTGCAAATGGTGGGAATTCTGGGGCCTGGGCCCGAGCCCTTCCCTCTTGGGGGGCTCAGAGCAGCTCCCTGTAGGTGCCTGGCCCTGCAGGTGGCCATTCCGATGCAAAGGATGGTGTGGGTTTCTTCCCCTCCTTGGAGAGTCACGCCCCCGCGGGGTTGGGAAGCCTTGTTGGGAGTCCCTTGTCGGGGAGGGGTGAGGACCAAGGCCTCAAGAACCAGGGGAAGAAGCACTCACAGTCACCTCGCTAAAGAATATTCATTTATTTATAATTATTGCTAAGTAAACTTCTCTTTTAAACGGGAACATAAAAACACAGTAGGGCTTTGCACAAGTGGAATTTCTAAACAGTTGGTTTGTATACACGTCAAAATAAGTTAGGATGGAATTTGTCCAGGAGTTTCCAAGTCACCCAAGAGGCCGCGTGCGTGCCTCTCTTGAAAGGTCGGGGGAGGGGTGAGGACAGGAGCCTTGCGGAGACCACCCCCCAGCTCAAATGTGTGAGTTGTGCTGTTTCCTTCTCTTAGCTTTGCCCGGGTCCAAGGCACAGGGCAGGGGGGCGTTCAAGTATCGAACCTTGCAGAGGGCGGGTGCTGATGGCGGGGCTGGGGGAGGAAAGGAGAGCCCCGCCCTGGGGGCCAGCCCTTCTCCCTTGGGTTTCCACGACCAAGGCCACTGCACTGGCAGGAAAGAAGAGGAGGAGGTACAGGGTTCTTTTTGGTACCAGGGGAGAAAGACATTGTGGGAAGAGGTAGTTTGCAGGGGGTGAGGCTTCTGCTCAGCAGGAGAAAATGTCTTCTACAGTGACGGGGTCACTGCCACCTGAGGGTCATCATGGCGGGCACCTGGGGGGCTGGGGGGGGGCGCCTCGGGGTTCTGGAGGGGAAAGGCTCCTGTGAGCCCCCAGCCCTCTGGTCTGCTGCCTCTTAGCGTGAGCGAGCTTTAGCAGAGAAGGAAGGGGCACCTGGCTGCCTGATCCCGAGGCCACCTTGTCCTCCCCTCAGGCCTGATCACAGCCACGCTGAAGCCTGGCTTGGTCCTTCACTAAGGATACAGCTTTGGGGGCGGCTGCATTTCCAACTGGTCCCCCCACCCCCCACCCCAGCTGTTACCCCTCCTTTTCTGGTTTCCGGGCTGAAGTTGGTGGCTTCACCTCCTTCGCGCCTCTGGGGACAGCCCTGCCTGCCCCTCCCCACCGAGGCCTCAGGAGGCGAGTGGGCAGGAGTCTGGGTGCCCTAGCGTTCCTGAATGTGCCATTTCGTGCCCCGGGCCTGTCCTGGGGTCCCGGGGCAGGAGGGGGTGTGGGGACAGAGGCCAGGAGAACAGGCAAGCCAGGCAGCAAGCCGCGGGCTGAGCAGAATCAAGCCGCTCCGGCCACTGCGGTGGGTGGTGCCACGCGAGTCACCAGCCAGAGGGGTGGCGCAGGGGCCACGGGCCTGCCTGGCTCTGCCTCCCGCCTCCTTCCTGCCACCCCGGCCCCTCTGCACCCGAGCCAGGCCTGAGCCCTGCCCGGCGGGCCGCTCGACGTTGGGGAGGAGGCATGAAGCACGCACAGCACACGAGGGAGCTTCCGTTTGGAAAAAGAAAATGATCTCCATCAGAAAAGAATAGGCGACACAGAATTGGAAAGAAAAAAAAAAATAAGTTACCTTCAAAATACCCCTTTTGCTCAAAAAAATTTTTTTTTTCTCTATGGTCTTCATTTTCTTTTTAACTATGTTGCTCTTCTTGGGAACCTGTTGACTCTTGGCTGTCCACTTCCTCAACATGGATACTTGTTAATAATACAACACTCCAGCCACCCCCCCAGGTGGGGTCCTTGGCCTCCTCTGAGGACAGCCCCTCTCGGTCCCCTGCCCCTCACTTGAGGGGCTTCCGGCTGTCTTAGCGTGTGCCCGGTGAAAGGCACGTCCCAGCTCGCTCACGTCGGGGGACCCTGGTGCGGTGACCCGTTCAACAAAGAACTGGATGACATCTGTTGAAATCCACTTTAGGGACACCCGCTTTCAAACTGCTGGAAGGTGGGGGCCTTCGGGGGATTGGCTGGAGAGGGCACTAGCTGGGGGGCTGGGCTACACCCCGCTTTCCTGAGGCCAGGACCGGGGCTGCATGCTTGCCTGGCTCCCGGAGAGCTCGGGAGGCACCAGGAGGTAGAAGGCAGAGGGCCCTGCCTGGCTGTTGATGAACAGGGTGGGGAAGGGGGCTCTGGGGCCTGGGCGTTTCCCAGCCCAGGGGAGGGGGCGGGCTGGGGGTGGGGGGCAGTGCTGACCACCGCAGGAGCTCAAACATCCCTTAGAGGCAGGAGTTGGTCCAGAGGGGAAACAAGGCCAGGCTCAAGTTATGTCTTCCTCCAGTGCCAGGACCCCTCTGCTGGGCCTGGAGAGACCCGAGGACCTGTGCCCTTGTGACCTGGCCCCACATGGCCCCCACCAGCATTTCTCCCACCCTCCCGCAGCAGCAGGCCAAGGAGACCCAGAGCTGGGCCTTCTGTGCTCTCCTTCCTTCCCCAGATGCCTGGGGCCTGTGCCTCGTTCACAGCTGAGGCCAGTAGTACAGTCTCCATTTGGTCGAAAAGTCCCTAGTGGTGCAAACGACTCGGTGTGTGTGTGTGGGCGGGGGGGCTCGGGACAGTGGGGCAGTAGCTTCTCGGCTGCGGCAGGTGCAGCCCGCAGCACCGGGGTCTCCCCCCACATCCCACGCCCTCCCCGCCCCTTCTGGGCGGCCCAACTCGTGCTATAGCACGTTGTAGTAGGCCATCTCCTTCATGGCCTGTTCGGTGAGGACGCTGGCCTCGGCACTGCTGTCCACCCCGGCGTAGGCGTAGGCGTTCTCGAAGTCCTCCATCTCCTGCTGGCCGTCAAGCTCGGAGGGGTCAGTGCCTGTCAGCTCCATCATGGGGTCTGCAAGAGAGGGGCACAGTTAGGCCCGGAGGCCGCCTCCTGGGAAGAGCCAGTCACTTCTACGTGGAAGCAGAGGACCTTTCTCAAGAGGGGACTTCCTAGTCATTGCTTCCAGAGGATTCTCCGCTGCCTCTCTTCCGGTGCTGGAAAGCCCCAGGCTCCCGTGGCTTCTCAGACGGGTCACCAGACCTGAGCGCTAAAGCTGTGTGTGTGTTGGGGGAGGGGGGGAGAGGTGCAGGCCTGGCCTTGAACTCTTGTTTGCCCTCCAAAGTCAGCCCTCCTATGCATCCTCTGCAGTGTTTTGCATTGGCCCCCTTGGCCACATGAAAGCCTGCTGCTCTACGTCATGTTTCTGCAGCACCACTCATTTAGCACCTACTGCATGCCCGGAACTTCCCATACACCGTCTCATGAACGCTCACAGCAATCCCATGGAAGAGGTCAAAAGGAAGTTCAGAGAGGTTAATCCACTTGCCAAAGGGCGCCCAGCAAGTGCACTGTTTTGGCCCACTGTGCTGTTCTGCCTCAAAGGGCGGGAGGGAGCCCTTTCTAACCTCTGGCTTCCTACCAGCCTTAGCGCTTTAGACCGGCCCTGCCCAGTGGTCTCCTTGGGCCTTGCTCTTCGAGGACAAACACCCAAGGTAGGTCAACAGAGATGCATGAGGCAAAAACTCCAAGAGGCCTCTTGTAATTTTATCAATTTGAAATCTTACTGTAAAGTTCTTAGCATCAGAACAAAAGCCAGGTGGAAAGCTCCATAGAGGAGGCCTGGGGCTGCCTTCCATTGGAAGGAGGGAGGGAAGCCCAGGGGATGATCTGGGGACCCTGGGAAGCTGGCTGGCAAGGTCTGTGGCTGAGCCCCAGTGTGTGTTCTGCCCCTGTGCACCTAGGAGAAGTGATGTGTTTTGGGGAGAAACAGACCCCAGTCAAGGGGGTGGTCCTGACAAGTCTAAGGCAGGGTTTTGGCACTACTAACATTTGGGGCCATAATTCTTTCCTATGGGGGACGCTGTAGGATGTGCGTGGTAGGACAGCTAGCAGTTTCCCTGGTCTCTACCAGCCAGATGCCAGTAGTGTCACTCCAGGTACAACAATCAAAAATGTCTCTAGACTTGGCCAAATGTCCCCAGGGGACAAACTCACCCCCCGTAAGAACCAGTGGTCTAAAGGCAATTCTACCCCTTGCCAACGAGTGGTTCAGGAATGAATTCAGGCCAGAGAATCATGAGAGGTCTGCTTGTGAATTCTTTGAATTCACATGATTCTCACTGGTTTTTATAGAGCAAAGGGAAGAGGCTCTTACTCTCCCACTGGTTGTGCACAAGCCCTGAGCAGCACACCACCCTAAAGAACAATGGCAGCCATCTTATGACCATGAGGAAAATCAGAGCTAATGCTGTGAACAGATGGAGGGAGCCTCACCCTGGTGTCATTGTTGAGGGGCTGACTCACCCAACTCTGAAGACGGCCTGGATTTCAAGTCCTTTCTGAATCTATTTCATTATTGTTTAACGAGTTGGCGGGGGGGGGGTCGTCTATTACTCATGCCCAGAGCATCTGACAAACTGTGAGTCTTTGACTTTATAAAACAAGGTTAGCTGTTCCAAATCCTAAAGATACTAGGCTGCTTCTTCCTCAAATACTAGTGCCATACCTTCAAATGATAGAGTTGACTAAACATTAAAACAAGCTAATAGTGTACCATTTTTTACAAGGACATTGATCCACCTCCCAAATTATAGTTCCAATTTATGAGATGGTTCCATCTAGAATGTACACTGCCTTCCTCCTGCATAAGTGTGAAGCCTGAGCTTTTCCGATCAAGGTTATATGTGAGAGGTGGATTGGCTTAGGTCCCAGCCATTCAAGTGCCAATCACTCCTTTACTGTCTGTCATCTGGTGCAGTCAGGAAGAAAGCAGTCCTATGCATCCCTGGTTACTGACCTCAGACAGAAAGCGCGTGTGCCTTCACCACCCCCTGGGAGCAAGGTGTGCAGGGACAGCTGTTTCCAAAAGGACAAGTTCTGCTCTGGTCCTTCCTGGTGGGTTAGGTACATGGCGGGTCTGCTAGACCGTGGCTGTCAAACCCTGCTGCACATAGAATAATCTAAAGTGCTTTAAAGTGCTGATCCTAGGCCACACGCCAGATCAATTACATCTGACTCTCTGGGGCTGAGACTCAGGCATCAGCATTTTAAAAATTCCCCAGGTGCTTTCAATGCGTAGCCAAGTTTGAGAACCAGACCTTTAGAGTCCAGATCAAAGGTTCTCAAAGTGAGGTCCCTGATCAGCAGCTTTGGTATCCCCTGAGAACTTGCTGGAAATGCAAACTCTGCAACCCTACCCCAGACCTACAGATGCAGATGCTCCGGGGGTGGAGCCCTGCCATTTGTTTTAACAGATTTCCAGGTGATTCCAATGCATACCAAAGTTTGAAACCACCACTCTAGTCCCATACCTCTAAAACTCTACTGTGCAAACAGATCGCCCTGGGATCTTTTTTGAAGTGCAGATTCTGATTCAGGAGGTGTGGGGTAGGGCTGAGTCAGCAGTTCTAGCAAGATCCCAGATGATCCTGATACCGGTGGTTCTCGTACCACAGTTTGAGTTGGAAGGGGCTGCAGAGAGCACCTCTCTGCAGCTAATGGGGTTGCATCCTTGCTCACAAGAATAGAAAACCGAGGACACCCGTTTCTGCCAGAAAACCCAGGCCACTCACTGGTTAGCTGGTGCAAAACCATAGCAGGGTGCCTGCAGCCATCCCCCAACATCTGATTGACTGCTAGTGAGTAACGTCATGCAGGCAGGTCAACTCACCCGTATTGTTCCCTCTGCTGCTTTGTCTGAGAAGACATGCCAGACAGTCAACTAGCTCCAGACCATTCAGGGAGGCTTCCTGAGGGGCCATCAGCTCTTTCTTCCAGTAGAATCTCTAAAGTCCCTCCTTCCCTCAATAAGGCAAGAGAGACTAACGGTCTTCCACGACTGACGAGCGTGGAGGGCACAGGATATTGCTCACACTTAGGGATGTTACAAGCTACCAACCGCAGAGGTGAGGCCCCTCCCCTGAGTGCGTGGCCTACACTGTCTTTGGCAAGCACTGTGAAGAGTGTGACGGACTGCGTGATACTTTTCGCCTTGGTCACTGGGAAGCTCAGAGCTCCCCCGGGCTGTCCACAGACCCTCCCATGGTACAGTTGGGATCGGGACCTCGCCCGGCTTCCCTCAACTCTCCAGCCTGTCCTTTTCCCTTTTGTTACTTCCTTTCCCAGCCAACCATGTCTTTTAAATGTCACTGTCATAGTCATAAAAGTGTCTGTCCTCCCCCCATGCCCAGGTGTTGTGATCTTCCCTGAGTTACCTAACTTCTCTGTCCTTCAGGGTCCGCATCTGTAAGATGGGGATAATTAGCAGAGCCAACCTCACTGTGGGGAGCACGTGAGTTAATAAAGGCCTGGCACACAGTCAGCACTCGATCAATATTAGTTAGGATTTTTATTTCTTATTGTTTACGTGAGCCCGCTGAAGTCCTCTGAGGAATACATAAATGCCCCATCGTCAGCACCAGGACCACCTTCCGGGGTGCCTCCCCCCTAGCCCGGAGCCCACCCCAGTGAGGTCTCAGGCCTGGCCAGCCTCCCGCCGGCCCTGACTGGACAGGAGGCTCCTGAGTGTGCCGTGACAGGACCACTCCTGCACCGTCCGCTGTGCGTGGCCCACCCACCTTGGCTGTCCAGGCCGATGTCCATGACACCATGCTTGACCTTCATGTGCCGGCTCAGGTTGCCCTTGAGGTTAAACTTGCTGGAGCAGTAGGGGCACTTGAAGGGCTTGCTGCCCGCGTGCAGGTGCATGTGACCCAGCAGGTTGTACATGCGGTTGAAGGACTTCCCACACACCTGGAACACAGCAACTCGGCATCAGGAGCTCTAGGGGAGCCTGCCCTCCCTGAACCCCCAGCCCACTCCCACTTCCCTGCTGGGGCTCGAATCCCATTCGCAACGGACAGCACTCACTCTGTCCTTTCCTAGGTGACCCCAGAGGCCCGAGAGCCAGAGAACCAAGCCAACTCTTGCTGGTCACTGTTCCACTCTCCCCGAGCTGGAGTTACCAAAAACCCAGGGCTGGGCTCTCCGACCACACTGTGTCCCATGCCTGGGCTTTTCCCCTCTGGCTGTGCAGGGACCTTCACCCCCTCTCCAACTTCCAAAAAATACAACCTCAACAGCGTATAGGCTCTGAACACTATGGCCCACGGCAACCCACCGAGCCCGGGCATTTTCACCCCAAACTGGGCTCCACTGCTTGCACTGGCCGGGCCGGCTCCGGGCGGGTTTCAGCTGCTGCAGTCATGCCGACCAGGGGCCACCTGTGGGGACGTCCTGCCTGGGGGCCCTGACAGCCGGTACCTTGCATTTGAATGGCTTCACAGGTGAGTGTACAATCATGTGGGTCTTGAGGGTCTGCTTCTGCACGAAGGTCTTGAAGCAGATGTGGCACTGGTAGGGCCGGACGCTGGTATGGATCAGCATGTGCCGCTTCATGTTTGCCTGCAGGGTGAACTCCCGGCCGCACACCTCACACTTGAACTCCTTCACGCCCTGGCAGGAGAGGGGGCGGGAGGGGTGGTGGTCAGGCCACACCATGGGCACAGCTTCCGTGCGTGTGGGCCACAGTATCTGAATGTATGCACAGCTTCCAGAAAGCGACTTCCTGGAGGTGTTCTGGACAGGTACCACTTGTGGAAAGCCTCCGGGAGAATGTTGGGGCAGGGCCACCGACTCCAGGAAGCCTTCCAGTTCTACCCACACACCTGCTGTCTCCTGCCCACCTGGGCAGGTGTACCTCTAGGTTCGTACCAGCGCACCAAGGCAAATGTGTTCGTTCGTTCGTTCGTCCGTCCGTCCGTCCGTCCATCCATCCATCCAGCAACCATTTACTGGGCACCTGTGACAAGCCCAGCATCACACCAGGCACCAGGGATCTGTGGCCGAGATGAGAGCCACAGCCTGGAGGACTGTCCTCAGGTCAAGGGCACACGTATGTGTTTTTCCCCTCAGTGTTGCCTCTCAGTGGTCCTTCTGGTTCACGGACCCCTTTGAGATTAAAAGTGTGGACACTCCGGGAAAAATGATACCTGGATCCAAATACAAGAGTTCTCAAACCTCCGGAGCCCATCCACTTGACCCCTTGAGAGTTTTCCGAGCTTCCCTGGTAATAAGAACCAACCACCTTGTTACACATACAGCCTCTTGGGAGATTCCTCCCTGGAGATGCCGGGCCACCAGGCCCAGGAATTTTTAGTCTCAACAAGTCCCTCAGATGATTCTTATCATTGAAGGAGTTTGGGACACCTGGCCCCAGGAGACCATGATTCCAGGGGCCAACCCTCTGGTTTATTTAACATGCTCATCCATGGTCTGGAGGGGACCCCTGCAGTAGGACAGGGCGTTGTGAGCACAGGGGGTCCGATGTACCGTCTGGGGAGGAAAGTCAGGACGAAGGTTGGGAGTCGATCTCTTTGCTGAGGCAGTAATTTAGTAGACCCCTCGGTGGGACAGACATGTGGCTGCAGGTACGGCTGCTGTCTAACTGCTTACGCGGACAGAGTTTCGTATTATGAGGTGCCTATGTCTCTTTTAGCGGACAGGGGCTGTAGGTCGCATCCCTACGCTCGCCTGACACACTAAAGGTGTGTCTGACCACCAGGGGGCCCCGCCTTGGGGCGCTGACTCCCTAGGTGCCGATGGTGTGCATGCTGTGCAAATTTAGGCTGATGACAGGCATGTTTTCCATTTTACCGGCCTTTGATTTTTGTTTTCGGTTTTTCGTCACGGTATTATTTCTCTTTTATCACTTTGCAGACTCGCGGGGATTTTTAGTAGAGGCGAAAAATGGCACAGAGAGGGCCCATGTGCTTTTGGTTGCCCCTCTTTTCCCTGCAGACACGAAGTCAGTCAGTCATCCGGTTTCACTCAAGGCACGGTCCGCTTTAATGGCTGAGCCCAGACTCAGCTTCAGAATCCTTCTTAACATCACACTCTGGGCAACTACACCAGCTGACTGGGGAGCAGCTGCAAAAGCCTACAAATCACCTCTGCTCTAGTAGAAGGCGTTCCCGGAGCGGGGAAGGCCGGATTCTTGGGCCGGCAGGCTATCGCCCCCCCAACTCGCTGCCGCGTCCACTGTGGGAGGTGAGGGCGCAGGCTGGACCCCGAGTGGCCCTACGGCGGCCATTATGGAACGAGGGAGCTCTTGTACCTTGAGCTGCGAAACGTGAAGTTGGTTGGATCTGGGGTGGAAACGACGGGGCGGGCTAAGCGCCGGAGCAAGGCTGTGGGACCCACGAGGCCTCATTCCATCTGCTTGGACAGAAGGGCCTCTGGGAGGGGGTGGTGACAGTGGCTGAAAGGCAGGGTGGCTAGTGGCCTGAGGGGAGGGAGAAGACGGTGGGAGCAGTAGGTCAAAGTGGTGTCTCGGGGACACAGGGGACAAGGACAGTGTGCCCCATCTTCCATCCCTACAAACCGCTCGGCCTAGCTTATGTCCTTTTCCGTAACAATTATTTTTCCTTCTATCTGCTCCCTTTTAAAAATGAAATATATTTCAGCTTTTCCTAAAGGTAAGTCCCGGGTTTTGATACAGTTTTGTAATTATAAGGAGCAAAGGAAACCTCTACTTCTGACCATCTGGTCCACCGCCCTGTGGCCTCCCGGCCTCCGAGCTCCGGGAGGCTAGGCTGCTTCAGTGATTCTCCAACTGGGTTCCCTGGGGCCTGCCGGGGTTCCTCCAACAGTTCATTCAACAACTTCAAAAAAGACTGAGGGTTCTAGAGGGGAGGGGAGGGGGGATGGGTTAGCCTGGTGATGGGTATTAAGGAGGGCACGTATTGAATTGGAGCACTGGGTGTTATACGCAAACAATGCGTCATGGAACACTACATCAAAAACTAATGATGTGGGGCGCCCGGGTGGCTCAGTCGTTAAGCGTCTGCCTTCGGCTCAGGTCGTGATCCCGGGGGCCTGGGATCCAGCCCCCATCGCTCCCTGCTCGGCGGGAAGCCTGCTTCTCCCTCTCACACTCCCCCAGCTTGTGTTCCCTGTCTCGCTGTCTCTCTCTCTGTCAAATAAAAAAAAAATCTTAAAAAAACACAAAAAACTAATGATGTAATGTATTGTGATTAACATAACATTAAAAAAAAAACTTCAAAAAAGTAAGTTTTACTGTTAAAAAAAAAACCCCTGAATTTCAATTGTATTTTGTTCTAATACTCCTCCCAATGAATATGTAATTATAAACGGAAGACAGGTTCATCTGCGTCCCATCTCTACTGTCCCCTAAATGATCTGAATCAGGACTTTGGGAGGCACTGGATGAAAGGCGGGCAGGACGAGAGGGAGGAGCCTCAGGCCTGGGGCCAGGCCCCTGGGGGAGAGAGGCCGCTGGGGGGGAGGGGCAGGGACGTGGGTGGGGAGGGGCAGAGGGGCCAGGGGCTAGGCCCCGCCCCTCCCCTCCCCGGGAATGGCCCCCCGCCCCCGCAGCCCCCTCCCCACCCAGGGCGGGCCCTCCCCCCCCCCCCCCCCCGCAGCCCCTCCCCCGCCCGCCCGGGAAGGCCCTACCTTGTGGGTGAGGGAGTGCTGCTTGAGGTGGTGGATCTGGCTGAACTCCATGCCGCACTCGGTGCACACGAAGGGCCGCACGTTCTGGTGCTTGAGCATGTGGTTCTGCAGCTGGCTGCGGTAGTGGAAGGACTTGTCGCACTCGAGGCACTGGTAGAGGGTGGGGCCCTGGTGGGAGGCCAGGTGGCGCTTGAGCTGGGTCAGGGTGGAGAAGTCCAGGCCGCACTCGACGCACACGTGGCAGCGGCCGCTCTCGTGCTTCACCTCGTGCGCCTTGAGCTCGCTGGGGTAGGCAAAGCCGCGGCCGCAGAAGTGGCAGCTGTAGGGCTTGACCTCCGAGTGCAGGAGCATGTGGCGCTTGAGGTGGCTGGTCTGCGTGAAGGCCTTCTGGCACACCTGGCACTTGTGGGGCCGGGTGCCCTGGTGCGTCAGCAGGTGCGTCTGCAGGTGGCTGGGCTGCTTGAAGAGCTTGCTGCAGTGCGGGCACGAGTGCGGCTTGATGCCGTTGTGGCCCAGGATGTGCGTCACCAGGTTGTACTTGGACGTGTAGGACTTCTCGCACATGCGGCACTGCCAGCGCTTCTGGCGGTCGCCTGCCTCCACCAGGTAGGAGTCGTCGATCTGCACGTTGATGTCCAGCCGGTCCAGCTGGGCCTTCTTGTGGCGCTCCGCCGTCGAGCCGGCCGCGTCGGCCTCGAACTCGCCCGCCTCCTGCCACACGAAGCCCTGCTCCGGCTTCACGGGCTCCGGGGACTCCATGGTGGCGGCCTCGGGATCGCTCAGGGGGGCCAGGTGGGGCGGCTCAAAGCCACACTCGGAGGGCAGGGCCTCCGGCCCGGGCAGCGCCATGCCGGGCTCCGGGAAGCCGTCCCGCGCCGTGTCGGGGAAGTGGGGGTCGTAGGGGGCCGCGTCCAGCTCCGGCCTCGGGGCTCGGGGCAGGTGGCGCAGCGTCCGGGGCTTGCGGCTGAAGGCGCTGAGGTCGATCATCTTGACGGCGCTGCTCTGCACCAGGGTCTCGCAG